TTATATGGTGATTGATTTCTTGAATAATTTGAGTTGCCTGGAAGTGGTTTTCCAGAGCTATTATTACTGTATATATTCTTGTTTGGTAGGTTTTGATCTTTTTTCATATATTGATAGAATGACTTATTTGGTTCTTTGTGCTTTTGAGGTTTATTCTGATTGTCTTGTTGTTTTTGTCTACATTCGGCAATACTGTGTCCGTATCGTCGGCAATAATTACACCATTTTTTGAAAGATGGTTTGCCTTTAAAGTTTGGGTTCTTTTCATAGATGTTTAATATTTCAGTGATTTTTTCAATCAGGTCTGTATCTGATCCTTGTATGTTATTTATATGTGTAGTATTTGTTTCGATCCGATTAACATACTGTAGTTTTAGATTTTCTGTTTCTTCAAGTTTCATTCTGATTTCAGCCTGTTCTAGTTTATCTACTAATTTTCCAAAATCTAAATCTGGTTCTCGAATTGAGGAAGGATGAGATGCTCTCTTTTTTATAGCTATTTTCCTTAATTGAGGTGTTAAGGTCATCATTAAAATTTCTGTCATTTTTGTGTTTTTGTAATCATGTGTATTGAGTGAATATGCTTTTCTAACTAGTGTTTTGATTCGAACTGCTAATTGTTTAATTGTTTCATTAGATAATCTGCGAATTTCGTTGCATAAAACTCTTTGATGTTGTTTGTTTCTTTCAGAATCAAACATTTTTGAGAATTCTTGTGTGAATCTTTTCCAATCTGATTTTATGTCCATAGGTAGTACTGAAAACCATTTTTGGGCTGCGCCATCTAGTGTTGTTTGTATTAACGCTGTGCGTCTATGTATCCAATTTTGATGGAGTGGCGTATTAATTGGTTCGGGTCCTTATTCAAAATTAAATTTGCTGTGACTGCAATTAGGTAATCTTTTACTGAGTATTCAGGGTCTGTTCCTGTGAATACCATTAATGGTTTAATGGATGTTATTGACGATCCTCCCATTAAATATGGATTCATCGTCATTTGGAAGGACTCTGCGGTGTTTGGTATTTGCGAAAAATTTGTAAGTTGATTTTTTGTTATTTCATGTTGTTGTAAGTAATATGGTAGCAGTTTGCATTTGAGTTGGTTGGTAAGAATGCATAGTAATTGGGTTTTGTGATTGTATAGGTTGAAAAGATTGTGCGTTAATTGAATTTGGTATATGCATTGGTTGTTGATTCTGCATATCTGCTAGATTTTGTGGGTAAATCTTCATATTTTGGGATGGTTGAGATTGTCGCGGTCTTTGTGTGCGATATTCTTGTGTATATGGTGCAAAAATGTCTGGTTGATGATAATCATCATCATCAGATGATAGGTAATTTGTGTAATAAGGTGTTTGTTGTTTATTCGTACTTTGTTGAAAAAATGGGTAATTTTCACTATGATCCTGTGGAGGGTGTGGATGATCTGGGAAATTTACTGAATTGGTCGATGTATTTGGAAGATTCCAATAATGAGAACAAACGTGGTTTAGGTTTTGCATATTTTTTCGGGGGGGGGGGGTTGATTTGTTTTTGGTTGATGTACATAATTATAGTTGTGTTCTGTAAAAGTGTTTCTTGTGAACGTTTTTCGTGTTTTGACGGTTTTGTCATTGGTCTACATGTCTGATAGTCCATATGTGAAAATTTTGGAGCAACCGAAGGTTTAACGGTCGATTGTAAGGTTACTTGTGGTAGTGTTGTATTTGTATTTTTTGGCGTTGTGAGGTTTGGACGTATTGGTGAGATACTTTGTTGTGTAGTTGTTACTGTTGTTTGAACTATTTCTTCATTTATGAAGTGTGATGGTGTTTGAATATCTTGTTGTGTAAGATTTCTAGTTCCATTGAGATTTTCATTATGTATAACTGTTGAATTTAAGCTGTTATTTCGTGTATCAGGTAAAACTGTATTATAATTTAAAGATGTTGCATCAATCGTTAGTGGTGTTATTTTTACATAATCTTTGTGAAAAGATATTGTACTTATTGCTTGACTTGAGATATCTGCTGGAAAATTTAAAAATCCTAGATGAGACCATTCAGGGTCCCAAACGTAATCTGTTTGTTCTGCAATGACAGTGTCGTCATTGGTACTTTGGGGCCTAAAGGTTTTTCTTGCTTGTTCAATTAAGTCGATATTATGTGTAAAATAATCAATTGTAAGCCATGCTAGTTTTTTTTGTAAATAATGTTTAGTGTTTTGTGAGACATCATTATTGGTAAAATTTTCACGGATTGCGTTTAAAAATGTTGAAAATGCGACGATTTCGTTTCTTACTTTTGTATGTTTTGATGTTTGGACTGGTGATGTACTTTGAGCTTCTGTTCTTTCTAATATAGATATATAACTATATATTATTGCAAAAACTTCGTTGGTGAATATTGAGTTTGCTCTCTGTGAGTTTTGATATTGTATGCTTTTGATATATTCTGTGAATACTTTTGAAAATTCTAAGTCAATATCGTCTGTTTGGATAATATATTTACCATGAAGTGTTCTTGGTGTACTGATTTCTATGGTGTAGATTCCGTATTGTTGTGTTAGGCTACATATGTCTTTCAAATAATGTTCTATAATTTGTCTTTTGATTTTTATATCTGGGAATTTTGATTTGCATGGACTGATTCCTGGTTCAAACCAATTTACGAGTAAATTTTTTCAAAATCGTGTTTGTCCTCTATCACCGAGTGAATTTATGACAAAGGGAAAAACTGCTTCTTCGTCTGGACTTTCGTCACTTTGAGTGTTGCTCATTTTTTCGTTTGATGACTGTTAATATATGATTATCAATATGTCTAATTGGTTGATTCCAATTGTATAGATGTACTGGTTTGTCTTTATATATCTTTTTTATTCTTCTTTTTCCTCTTTTTGATGAGTTTGAAGTTGTTTCTGAATCGGAAAAATATAACTGATCATGGATTGGGCAATTTTTATTTACTGATTCTTTTAATTTGTAAGTGCGTCTAGACTACAGACTTCTGATTCGGAGAATGCATTTCTATTTTTTGAAAATCTTTTTCGTGTTATCTGTCTTTGTTTACTTATAATTTTTCTTTTTATTGTTTGTCGTTTTGTTCTAATCTATCCAACTGTTTGCGTATGCGGGGTTATTACAAGATCGTATTTTGGTTGTCTATTTCACAATTGTGTAATACGATTGTTCGTTTATTTCCTAAATTTTTCAATGACATAAGGTTTAGGATGAAGGATGCAAGAAGTTATTAGTGATTTTAATTTTCCTAGACTGTTAGTCCTTACGATTTTTTGGTGAGCTTAAACTGAGTCTTTTTGTTCAGGGTTGGAGAGAAAAGTATATCGATTCCGAGGAATGATTTTTACTTTTTCATGGCTAGTCTAAGTTAAGGTGTTAACTTACTAAATCTTACTTAGGGGTAGTGATTGTGTTCAAGGGTTGGAGAATAGTAAATCGATCCACAGGGTTCAGGTATAATTAGAACGCAAGTAGTTCGTTAGATACTATTTTAAACTTACTAAGTTTAAGATTTATCCTGGGTTAAGTAAGAGGAGGGTTCAAGTGAAGGATGAATAACCGAAGTTCTTCACTGTTTAGCCTAATTTGAATGGTTAGTGTGATTAAAAAATTTCTATTAGTCCCGGGTCTTTTGAAAAGGTTGGGTTGTGAGTCGACGTTTGAGGTCTTTAGACACTTGGTAAGTGGGTAGGGTAGAACAAAATTGCTCTTTTTGATCCAAGGATAAGCCTTGATGATCAGAATTTAAAGTTTATAAGACAGAAAATTGATTTAGATCAAAGGAAAGCCTTGATGATCTGGTTTAAGATTAAATAAAATTAAGTTTGAATTAATTTAAATTTATTTGGTTAAAGGTTTTAGTTTTTGATGATATTAGTTGATTTATGATTGTTGTTATGTTTAGGTGATGAAGCTGGAACAACAGGATGATTTATATATACTAACAATTTATTGTCATGCTACTAATTTTTATTTTTGTTTTCAATAAATATTTTTTCAAATATGTTTTATATATTACTGCAGAATTGGAGGGAACGATTTGAGATCTTTTTATCAATCTTTATTGTACAATAATAATTTTATCTAGCGCCTGAAATAATCATCGAAGATTTCCTTCAAGGATTTTATGTTTGCAAATGAAAATCTAAATTCATTGCTACTAAGATTCTAAATATAAAAGTTTGTGTTGGCTTTTGCCGTACGACCATGAAACTAAATGGTAAGTTTCTATGTAGTCGTATGTCGTCTCTTGTCCGAGGTCTTTTTCCAATACCGGGTAGTTCTCGTATTGTGCGGAATAGCGGCTCTGATCTATTAAGTCGTAGAGACATTTCAATTAAGTTATTGTCGTGTAACATTTTGAAAATGTTTTGTCTATTTTCTAATCTTTTTTTGGTTAATTCTAAGCTATTTTGTTTTTTAAGGTCTTTATTCCAGACTTTTGGTCGCACCAGATGAGTTAAGATGTAGGGTGTATAACTCATAGAGTAATTTCGGATAGGGTACACCGTCTGCTCGTCACGCTATCTTATTTTCGGCCGGATAGATTCGTGCAACTTCTTAGTCTAATACCGATCCTAATTTTACTCTTATATCTACTAGTCTCAGGGTGTTTAACTAGTCTTTGCTAGGCTCAATAGATCTAGAGTATACTGGCTTTTTGCGACTGCTGAAGTTCTCTTGGAGAGGTAACTAATTTCTAAGTTAAATTCAAATCTCTCTGGTGCTGAAACTACAAGTAATTTCAGCACTTACAAATAAGTGGGTTGTTAGTTAGATGGAATATGATTGGTAAATATTAAAAACTTTATAGTGATAAAATATCTAATTTATCCAATAATAAAATGTAGTTTAGATCAGGTTCCACTACCCTTCGCTTTGCCCAAACAAAAGGCTATAGAAACATTCTGACAGAAAAATTTTCTCCTTTTTCAATCAGACAACCGTGATATGAACATTGCAGTTTCATGCACAGTAAATTACTATATCATTGCGTATTTAGAAAACACATATGCGGAACGAGTATTTGTTCCATCTCGCCGCGAGTTCCGAACGAGGACAATATTAAAGTGGAATTTCGAACCGATCACCAAGAAAGAAAAACTGTTGTGAAAAATTGGTTTCAAACACAAAATGAGTCAGATTCGATTGCTATCATTGTATTTTCCAAGAAAAGCGGCTTAGTGAGTTCTACTGCAACGCGGCAAAATCACAGCATCCTTGAAACAATCGAAGTTGATACGAAACAAATTTTCACCAACGAACCGCTTGATGATTATCGAACTCTTTTGTTTTCGGGGTGTGAATTTGACCATGTTTTGATCATTTTTGAATGCGATACCAGCATACATGATATTTCGGATAGTGGTTCAACTCAGGGGCAAACATTTGGACAAAATCTTCTGATTGCTACAACACGTGCCAGGAAGACACTTACCATTTTGGTGGCCAATGAAGAGCAGAAGGGGCAACTTGACATATTCAGGGAAGACGACCATCAACTGATTGTTGCCCAGGTGATTGGCAACGAAGAAAAAGAGAAAGCAATTCTGAAGGAAAAGCTCAAGGGAAATTATGAAAATGAAACTTTGAAAGATGTGCTTCGCATTGTTACTCATCGAGAAGATATCGAAACATTCAAAGAAGTCGTCGGCATTATTTGGCGCAAAGGTGGAACAAATAAGAAAAATGACACTGTTAATGCTTTTATCGACGCGGTACTTCCAGGATGCATTGGTCGGCAGAAAAGCATGCAGTTTCTAAAAAAACTTGGAAAACTTATTGCACATTATAATTTTCGCGAAACGATAAACAGTTGCCCTCACAAGGAGGCAAAGAAAAAATTGACTCGTTGGTTCGTTTCTGCCTACTACCGAGCACGAATTGAGACACTGGATTGGCGCATGGAACTCGGCCCTACGAATTTGTCAGCAGAAGAGAAGGTGTCTCTGTTTAAAGAAATACTGGTTGCAGCTTTGAAGGAAGGGTCTGAACTAGTGGTCAAGCATGCTTTCGAGAAGGGTTCGGAGTTCTGTGGCGTTGACGAAACGGAGATCGGCAAAATCATTGACGGACTTCAAATTGAAATTGATTCCGTCCAGTACCATTCTCCTTTGTCGGTTATAACTCGAACCAACAAGGACGTTGATTTAGTTGAATACTTGCTGCGTAAAATACATCAATTTGAAAATAACGAAAGCAAAATTGTGGAAATTATAAAAGAAGCGATGAAATGGTCGGTTCAATATCCAAGTTTCCGGATGCTTCGAGTACTCATTGCAGAAGAGCAACACTTTGCTATTTTGAGAGAAATTTTGCAGGAAGCGAGCGCCGAATGGGTTCGGAGATTCATAGAAACCGTCAACAGAATCACTGAATCGGCAGAGAATGCCAACTGGAGCGACGACAACAAAGAATTACTCAAATTCATCATAGAGATGAAAAATACGGTGACCTCGAAAATTGGGAATCGTGGATTATGAGACTTTTAATCATGGTTTATATAATTAGTTTAGTTAATTATTTTCACGAACAAAAGAGACTCATGCGGGCGGAATCTTCATGCCAGAAGGACCGACTGTCCTAAAACTTTGTCAGCCAATTGGATTCAGTACTCAAACGTTCGAAAGAAATGAGAGATAAAATAAGTCGTTTTGAACAGTGTAAAGGGAGCTGATTGGTTGAGAAGTTTCAGGCATTCGGTATTTCTCTCATGAGATCAGCCACTAGTGATGAGCCTTGCGGGACTAGTATATATTTACAGATTTCAATATCGAATGTGTTTAGAGTTGAATTTGATGTTAGCTGATAATGATTTTAAATTTGCACAAATAAGATTCATTCACACGTTTAAGGGTTTCACAAAAACTCCTTGAAAAATGGGCTTGACGTGAAAATGCGCATTTTGTGATACATTTTTTGACCCGCCAGGTCATTGGGAGAGACTTTTCACTGTTAAACTTCTCAAGTTTGTTTTTAATTGAATCTTTTCCTCGAAAATATAACATTTCGTGATTTTTTGGTATCGAAACTAGTTTTTGTCAGAAAATTTTGGCAATGAGCCTATATCAGCAAGTGCAATGGGTTTAGAGAAGAAACTATTGGTTGGAGCAGGGTAATGGATAGGCCCTTTTTAGAGTTTCGACCTTGCACCAACAAAATGTTCAACTTCTAAAAATTAGTTTTGAAATCTTCTGTTTCAAGAGTACAACAAATCTGTAGAGTTATTAGGAGCCAATATGAGCCTTTTTGGAGGCCAATTATGAGCCAAAAAACTCTAAAAATCGCAAGCAAAAAAATACAGTTGTTAAATAGAACCCTCCAAAAAGACATACATGTCGCTTGCAAATTTTTGGCACAAACGTCTCTGGCAGAAGAAGTACTTAGGAACCCAAAATGACTCTTTTTTATTAGTTTAACATTCGACACAGAGGCGAAGCGGAGCTAATGCAGATGAGCTTTCCACTACCCTTTATCTCATTGAACCCACAATATCAGATTTGAGAGAGTAGTTTTCGAGAAAAGTCAAAAATTTTCAAAAAAAATTTCGCAAATTTTTTATTTTTCCGAGGGCCCAAATTTTTGGAGTCAAAAAATCTGGGCGTAGTCGAAAAGAAAAAGTCGAAAAGATCCACAAAACAGTCAAAAATTTGAGTTTTCAGAGGGACATAACTTTACGTGCAGAAAAATTGGTCGTAGCCACTTATGCAGGGGAGTTATTCAAAACAGTTCTTTCCACTGAAACCAAAAACTCATATTTGAGAGAGGTAGTTTCCGAGAAAATGAAATAAAAATAATTTGAAAAATGGGTAAAAAATTCCCCCATACTTTATCGAAGGCTGTAGAGAGAGGAGTCAAGTAAAAAAGACTATAGGGGAGTATGCACGCACACAGAGGAAACAACGGTTTTTCAATTGATACTCCTTTTTTTGAAAAACTAAAATTTTGGCAAAAACTGAAAAATTATTCCAAAACGAAAAAAATGAAATTTCAACAAACAGATAGGTAAACGTATAGCCAACTTGAAAAGTGCAGAGGCGACTGCTGAAATTGTGTTGATCTTGTAACATCCCAAAAATAGGTCATTAAGCCGATGAAAAAATAGGCCGAAAAAATTTTGCCAAGTAATTTTTTTTAGCGAAACCAAAAAAATCAAAGGAAGTATGAAGATAAGTAAAAATACGAGAAGTAGACATAAATCAAACACTAAAAACAACATAAGAAAATGCGCATAGAAAAACGACAATTCTTTGGCAATGAGCCTATATCAGCATGTGCAATGGGTTTAGAGAAGAAACTATTGGTTGGAGTAGAGTAATGGATGGGCCCTTTTTAGAGTTTCGAATTTGCACCAACAAAATGTTCAACTTCTGAAAATTTGTTTTGAAATCTTCTGTTTGAAGAGTACAACAAATCCTTTTTCAAATCCTTTTTCAAGTACAACAAATGCTTCAAGTACGCTTATTAGGAGCCAATAAGAGCCTTTTTGGAGACCAATTATGAGCCAATAAACTCTAAAAATCCCAAGCAAAAAAATACAGTTGTTAGTTAGAACCCTCCAAAAGGACGTACATGTCGCTTGCAAATTTTTGGCACAAACGTCTCTGGCAGAAGAAGTATTTAGGAACCCAAAATGAATTTTTCTTTTTAGTTTAACATTCGACACAGAGGCGAAGCGGAGCTAATGCAGATGAGCTTTTCACTACCCTTTATCTCATTGAACCCACAATATCAGATTTGGGAGAGTAGTTTTCGAGAAAAGTCAAAAATAATCAAAAAAAATATCGCAAATTTTTTTACTTTTCTTGGGCCCAAATTTTTCTAAGTAAAAAAATCTGGGCGTAGTCGAAAAGATCCACAAAACAGTCAAAAATTTGAGTTTTCCGAGGGACATAACTTTACGTGCAGAAAAAATGGCCGTAGCCACTTATGCAGGGGAGCTATTCAAAACAGCATATTTGAGAGAGGTAGTTTCCGAGAAAATGAAATAAAAATAATTTGAAAAATGGGTAAAAAATTCCCCCATACTTTATCGAAGGCTGTAGAGAGAGGAGTCAAGTAAAAAGACTCTCGGGGAGTATGCACGCACACAGAGGAAACAACGGTTTTTCAATTGATACTCCTTTTTTTGAAAAATTTGAAAAAATTTGGCAAAAACTGAAAAAATTTTCCAAAACGAAAAAAATGAAATTTCAACAAACAGATAGGTAAACGTATAGCCAACTTGAAAAGTGCAGAGGTGACTGCTGAAATTGTGTTGATCTTGAAACATCCCAAAAATAGGTCATTAAACCGATGAAAAAATAGGCCGAAAAAATTTTGCCAAGTAATTTTTTTTAGCGAAACCAAAAAAATCAAAGGAAAAAAGAAGATAAGTAAAAATACAAAAAGTAGACATAAATCAAACACTAAAAACAACATAAGAAAATGCGCATAGAAAAACGAAAATTCTAAGATGTGACAACTAAGCCGACAACAGATAAGCAGACATATTATTGGCCAATAGTATTTTTTAGGAATATTTCCTGTTTGAAAAAAAAAACAAGTCATGGTCTAACTCGAATCCAGGACCTTTCCCGTGCCAGGCATATTCGTTACCTCTAAGCTATGTTGACAAGAGACGCTAAGAAATTTGAATACTTTAAGAAACAAGATAAAGATGAGTCCAGACGTCTAGATGAAACCTGTGGACAAACTTGTTTACGGGAAACAAGGTCTAGTACCCGGTTGCAATACCCTTGCTTATCGCAAGGGTATTAAGAAACCGAATTAGAGTACCAAATGAAATTTCTCAAATTGGCGAAAGATTTAATTATGAAATTTTAACGCATCTCAAATATTATTAATTGAATGAATGCCATCAAAAAGTTAAGTACGCCTTGAAATCTTATTCACAGAAGAGGACATATTCACGGTCCATCAACCGCTGCTATTTATCTATTGCTATTTGTCCTTTCAAGTTATTCAAAATCCAACCGCTGCTATTTATCTGTTGCTATTTGGCCTTTCAAGTTCCTTCAAAATCCATTTTTGAATAGCCGATATTCCTAAAAAGTAGCCTCATAACTGATTGCTTGTACAGTGTGCTTCAGATACAATCTTTAAAAATAATTTCAAATCTCTCAGTATTTCACCAGCTGGCGCAATGAAAATTTGACAGTAGAAAATGGACAAACATTTTGAAGTAAAAATTTTTCCAACGGTGACATCTGATAAGTCAATCAAGAGCTCAAACGGAAGTCATTGAGTTTCTGAGAAATTCGTTTGCAGATTTTTTGGGTCTTTTTACTAATTCTGCCCAAAAATCGATGTTTCAATATCTTAAACTGGAACAATTTTTCTTCAATCTGATTAGCCAAAATAAGCCAATCAAATTTCAGTACAACTCAAAATTTGAATTAGAAATAAACCGAATTGGCATCAGGTTAAGAATGTTTTGTAAATTAGTCAAAATTATTTCAAATACGCTCCAAAAAATTTCCAATATTAATAAAAAAAAGCCTCTTATGCAGCCAAACAAAGTTTAAGAAGAGTATAATTGATTGAAACTTAGAATACCGGCAAGGCGATCACTTCGAGATTGTCAGATCATGTAATCGATCCCCTGCCATGCCAATGATAGTGTTAGAACGAGCTCTCACTTGACTTCTAGCTTCAGGACTACCACAACCTGACCGATGACGGTTGCAAAACTTAATTTAATTGTTCAAAAATTAGGAGAGTATAGTCTTGTTAAACTTTGTTGGACTAGGTAAGAGGCTCACCTTGATATAATTGACCCGGTCGCTGAAGCGTAATTTTTGATTGACTGAAAAAGACAAAACTATCCGTTTTGGGGCAAAATTTTGAGCCCGAATGTAGTAAAAACAAACTAAATCACGTTACTTCTGCTAAAATTCTAAGCAAGTTTTGTCTTCATCGTTTTTCACCTATAGCCAACCCAATTTGAGAAAAACCCAATTTAACTTTCAATTTTATGCTTTTCATAATTTAAATTAGCGCCACAATCACGTCCATGCCGTTTTATAAATATTAGGTGGATGTAGACTGATCATAAGTTATTCAAACCATTAACTAAAATTTCGACCGTTTTCCAAGCTTGAGTTTCAATACACTTCGACTTTTGACAACTTTGCGGCAAATTGGATTGATCGAACTACGCGACTGTTCAACAGCGCATTTCGATTCAAATGATTATTTTACGCAACATAACCACAAAGCTACTTCGTGTAACTCGGGCAATGAACAGTTGATTTTGGCTACAACAAAACACTTTTTCTTTTTTATTTGCCGAAAATTGATTGATGATAAACAATATATCCGGGTGATTGACGAATGGTGATATACAATATATCCGTTTAGCTAAAAAAATTCAGTAGTAAAGAAATGTTTCACATTATTTAACCAACAGAGAACCTGGTTTTTTAATTAAACTGTAATTACTAACCAAACAAAAAATATCAATTAAGGAGAATTAAATTATTTTACAAAAACAATTTCTTCATTCGATTCCTAGAAAATTCTGTGCCGGTATCTTTTTCGTTTTTTTTTTGCTGTCAGGCTAGTTAACCACTATTTCTCAAAATATTTATTTGGTCACAAGACTTAAGCCCGTTACATATGTATTTCAAAAAACTAAATCAGCAGGCGTTTATTTTTCAAACGAAAATTTGCCAGGGATGTAGTCTGGCATCACAATTAAGACCTTGCAGCCATAAATCGAATTCCCAAAAAAAATTCTAAAAATGATTTGTCTCGATAACAACTGGTCTGGAAAAAGTGGTGTCTGAAAAATAAGGTCTGAAAAACATGGAGACTGAACTTTATTACCTAATTTTACAGTAAATTTTCTCATAACGGGGCCGAGAAATTGATTTTCTCAGTAAATTTTCTTGGAGGACGGCGATATGGATTTCCCCGAAACTCCACTACGATTTAATAGCAAGATTCTTGAAAAACTTTTGGATGGTCTTAGAGAACAAGAATTGAACTAAAGGGGCGCAAGTGGACTGAAACAATTACGATGTGCAGGTTGAAGTTTCTGAGAATTTGACGGTAGTTGATGGGATGGTTGAAAGTTAGGGTTGAATGGAGGGCAGTCAGGGGTAGGGAGTTTGATTTCGAGGCCGTCAAGGTAAAAAATAGTCTAGAGTGCACAAGGGACAGTTCAAATCTCGGTGGTGTTCACTTTAAAAATTCTGGCCACTACATTCAAAAAATATCCAGCCACGTATCTGGAATCAAACGCTGGCTTGAGTTATTTTAATCGTAAATATACAAAGGAAACATTTTTATGGACCTTTATGGGTTGGGATTTATACCGGAGCGGAGTAGTAGTATCTGGATAAGCAGACGGAGCAGCCTAGCCGGCTTCGGACGCTCCGTAACCGAACACCTGGAGGCTTCTGAGCTTTCCTCCGACCCATGTGAGGGGGAGTTCGACCCCATTGCAACCTGGCTAGCCAGAAGTCGCATCCACCACGTGACCTCATTTTCTCAAGTACTGTACATTTAATCTGAGATCATTTATGGAAAATTTAATTTAACTTAACTATGCTGCAAAAAATAATTCACATTTTTACAATGCAGATTATAGATAGACACCAGTAATATATTTAGAGACAACAAGAGATCCATCTTCGAACTAAATAATTCAAACAATTTATATAAGAACTGTATTTGAAAGAATTAAAACCATTTTTAATTTCATTGAATAGTCTTACTGTACAATACATTGAAAACTGCAAACAATATTAACACCGAAGTTCCTGTAATTAATATTTCCTCTCATAATTCATACCGATGAAATCCAGCACCAAGTTGTCTAACCTAGATAGTTGAGCATACTATCATAAAATAGGATATCGATATTGACATACAAAAGCACTATTAACATTTCAATTAATGCAACCCAGTAATGAGCATTATACAGTACAACTCCTTATTTCAGTTCCTAAAAAGAAGTCCCTGGCTGTATTTCAACCATACAGTCTGAACAACATTACTCGAAAAGTTATTAGTACACACGCAACTACGAATCTGCTTCTTTTGCAAGGCTCGAATATGCAATTTTCGTACAAAGATCGACTGAACGCTACAAAGGAATCCATTTCTGACCTTGTTTCACAGCTCGTAAGATCTCTTTAGATTCCCTGTCGTCAAACTTTGCAATTGACACCAAAACTTTCGCCATCACCATCTTCTCCTGGCCCATGATGAACTGTCTCAGAATAGTTCTCAGGAACTGCAGTTGAGTTGGGTCTTCCATGTTGAACAAGTTCTCCTGACTAGAAAGCGATAGGTTAGCAGGGGACGTTAACACAGCAACTTCCTCTCTCTGATTACTCGGCGAAGCGATACTTTCTTCTGACATACTTGCTCCATTCACATGCAACCCGTTGTTATCTGAGGATCGACTTTCAACTGTGGATGATACCAAGTCGTGATATTTCTCCGAATAATATTCGTCCATTTCTCGCACAATTTTATCTCTTTCTCGCTTCAATCTCTCGTCACAGTCTTGGTCTTTTGACTTCAAACTGGTCTTCAAAGTTTCCTCCATTCGCTCAATTTCAGATTCCTTCGCTTCTAACAGTGATTTCAAATCCGAATTTTTCTGTTTCGTTTTGGCTTCCTTACTCAATAAATCATTTCTTGATCTTTCAGCCTTGTAATTTGATTCTAAATCTTGTATCTCAAACTCCAAATTCGCGATTATCAGTTTTTGTTCCTGCACCTGTTTCTCTAAAACTCTTTGGTCTTCGTGCGATTTGTTTTCCATCGCTTTGACTTTCTGCTCATTTTGTTTTTCCATTCGTTTGATGTCACTTTGCGAGGTGTGAACAAGCGTTTCGTATTTTTGTTTGTATTCGTGCAAGGTCGCCGACAAGGTTTCCTTGTGCAACTGAGTCGTCAACTCGGCTATTCTCGTCTCTAATTCCTGATTGGCAACTTCTTTCTCTGCGATCTGATGACGCAACGATGCGATTTCCTCGTTGAAGTTATTACTCAACTCTGTCTCTGATTCGGCCGCTTTTTGTTCACATTCTAAGAACAAGTTCTTCACGTTTTCTTGATGACTCAAGGTCAAAATAGTCATTTCTTCATTATGAGATTTGACAATTTTGCTCATTTCTTCTTCGTGATTCCGTCTCAAACTCTCTGTTTTCTTCTGCGAAGTGCTCTTTCCTTCTCGTATCTGATCGTCGAGACTTTTAACTAGGGAAGCATGTTTTGTTTTTATTTCTGAAATTTCATCTCCGTGCTTTGACCGGATTTTCTGCAAAGTGTCTCTTAGTTTAACGATTTCGTCAGATTGTGTTTTAATTTCTCTGTCCTTCGATAATTTTTCCTCATTCGAAGAGGTTTTCAGTGTTTCAATTTTTTCCTTATTTCTTTTATTGCTCTCCTCCATTTTCATTTGATACTTTTGAAAGTCTTTTTTAACTGTGGCAAGTGTCATTTCAACTTCCGATTTCTCATTTTGAAGTAACTTCAAATCCGCTGCTAGTTTATTTCTTTCCACGTAATGCGACTTCGTCATAGACTGTTTTTCTTCGTCATATGCTTCTTGATTCCTCCTACAAGTTTCTTGGCTCGATTTCAACTCATCGCTTAACTGAACTAAGTGCGCCTCATTTTCTGAAATTTCAATTTGTAAACTATCGACTTTTGCCTCCAGTTTTCCAAATTTTTCCTTGCCATCGTGTTCTAACTTTCGGCGCAATTCTTCATTTTCACTTTTGAGAGACTTCAGCTGTTCTTCCAGCTGATGTCGCACTAACATAACATCATTTTGACTCTGTTCCAGAGTTGAATTCACTAACTTGTGACTTTCTCCAAGTTCGCTTGTCAACCTGTCAACTTGTGATTTATTGTTTGAGTTTTCCACAAACAAACTTTCTTTTTCCTCGAGGAGATATTTGAGCTGTTCTTGCTGATCAGTCGTCATTTGCTGAAGTTTTTCAATTTCTTTGTCTTTAGCTTTGAATTTCTCGTTGATTATTTGCTTTTGAGAAGAAAATTTTTCTTCTACTTTCTTTTTGTAGTCGTCGAACTTTGCTTTTTGCTGCTCATTAACTGTTTCCGCAGATCTTAATTTTTCTTGCTCTGATTGTAAAGTTTTCAATTGTGACTCAATTTCAGCTTGGCTCGTTTTGAGCCTCGAATTAAGTTCTTCGACTTCGGTTTCCAGACTAATTTTTGTCTCTATTGATTTCTTAAGTTTCGTTTCATAATCAGTCGTTATTTCTTCCACTCGGCTTTCCGAGTCTTCGAGGGAGTTTTTGAGGAATTTCACTTCGTTTTCTTGCTGCTCCAGTTCATCACGCAGTTTACTTATCCTTTCCTCGTAGCTTTTTTCATACTCGTCTAGCAAACTGTTCACGCGAGAAGCATTAGAATCAGCCTCCCCAAACGCTTTTTCCAAACCTTCTATTTTTTCATTGAAACTTTTCCTTTCTAGGCTGAATTGTTCTGCCTGATCCTCTAATGACGATTCCCATGAGCTTTTAGCTTCTAGCAATTTTACATGATCCTCTTTCAGCTTTTGCAATGATGAAATTTCGGTTTCCTTTTCTTGGACTAAAACATTCAACTTGTGCTTTGCTTCATTTAGTTCCTTAGTAATTTCTTCCAAATTTTCTATTTTAGTTTTTAATTCTGTTAATTTTGACTCTGCATTCGAAAACTTTTCAGCCATTTCAGACAGTTCTGCTCTGCATTTTTCCAGCTCTTTATTCAACTCTAACTTTTCGTTCGTGAAAACTCTTTTCTCTTTGTTGAACGCGTCTTTTAATTCTATTTCAAGATCATTTACAGCTTGTTGTTTTTCGACTAGCAATTTTTCCTTCATGCTTTCAAACTCTTGTGACAACTGGTGGTAATTGCGCTTGACCTCCACATTTTCCAGTGCGCAATTATCGTACTCTTCATTTGAGACTGAATTCTGACTACTCGCTGCAACTGCATCGGCCAAAGCTTCAACTTCGTCCACTTTACACTCCAGTTCTTGCTGCAGTTCTTTCACTCTTTCATTCAAACTTGACACTTTCTGGTCACGATCTTTCGAAATCGAAGCCACTGACACTTCTAAAGTTTCCTTCTCGGAACATAACTCTTCAATCCTACTGGTCAATTTTCCTTCTTCATACTTCGTGTAACTGAGAGACTCAATTTTTCCCATCAGCTCCTCAATTCGTGCATTGGCACTTGTCAAATCGGCCTGAAGCTCGTTCTTATCGTTCGTGCAATTCAGAAGACTGCATTCTGTCAATGAATTTTCGCTGTCAGTTTGTGCCGACTGTTCCATCGACTCGCTTCGGATTAACTTCGATTCCGTCAAAGGAATCGATTCTAAAAACGATTCCGCTTGATTGCACACTATGGATTCTTCTTGAATATTTTCAATAGCATCTTCATGAATTTCAATTTTGTTACAATGCTCTCCATTTGGAGCAGAATGAAATCCATTTTGCACAGATTCAACGTGCTCGTTAAATTGTGTTTGATTCAGAACTTCCATATTTTGAATTAAATTTTTCAATTCACGATTCGAGTTTTGCAACCCTTCGAGTTCAGCTTCTAATGTCGAAACTTTACATCTGCAGCTTTTAAGTTCGGCTTCATTCGCTTCGATAATCTGTGACTTTGATTGTACTTCTGAATTGAGCAGATCAATTTTCCCAATCATTTCAGTTTTTTCTTTGATCGCCTCTGATTTTTCGTTTTCAACTCTGTCTAAGGTTATTTTCATTTCTGAACTTTCATTCTCGCAAGCGGACAGTTTCTCCTGCAGATCTTGATTAGCGACCTGAAGAATTTCCAGCCTTGATTCTATTTCGGCTTTGCATTCATGTGCTTCGTGAAGTTGCTTTTCGGAATTAGAAATTGTCTCCTTGCACTTTTCTATTTCGACATTTAGACCAGAAATTACTGATTCCTTAGATGCAAATTCTGATCGCAAACGAACTATATCATTTGACAACTCCAAATTTTTATTCGAAATTTCATTGCTATTGTGTTTTAAAGATTCTAAAGCTAATTGGATTTCCTGTTTTGCTGATTCTGAACTTGACAACTTATGATCCAGATCGGCGATTTTGGCAGTCAAAGTAGTTTCAAGTTCGCTCGAACTTTTCTCCTTTACTTCTTGCAACTCTATTTTCTGTCTTTCTACTTCTTTAAAGCTCCTCTCACTTTCACTTAAACGTTTCTCAAGTTCTTCTTTTGACGTCAAAACAGTTTCATGGTTTCGTTTCGCTTCGGCTAATTCATCATTCAAAGCAATTACTTTTTCTTCGCACAATTTCAGCCTCTTTTCAACATCTTCGCGTGAACATACTTCAAGCTTATGCAGTTTTTCCGACTCTTCTAAATCTCTCCTCAGCTTTTCGGATTCTTGACAGCTTTTTTCCAACAAATTCTGACAATCTCGCAACTGCATTTCGAGATCTCCTATGGATTTTACTGCTTCGTTTAAACGATTTTCAGAATCTGTCGATTTAAGTTCACTTTTAGAACTTTCATCGTTTCTGCTTATGTTAGTTTTGCTTTCGATCAAAGCCTGATATTTGTCGATATAAGATTTCAAATCAATTTCTAAGTTTTCGATTTGAGCTGATTTTGAACTTAGTTCACTTTCCAAAGTGGCTTTCTCAGTTTTCATTTGGCTAACTTCGTTCACAATATCCGATGATTCGTCTCCTTGCTCCAATATTGCACTGAGCTGGTAACACTTTGCGTAAACTTCGTTCAATTTAGCTTCTCTCTCCAATGATGATTGGATTTGATTGTCGTCGAAATTCGATCCATTTTCACAATCATCAGTGAACTTTTTAATCAATTCTATATACATTTTACCCAAAGTTTGGCTCAACATACGAGGTGATTGCGAGGCTTCCAGTTGACTTCCAACTGACTCATTAAAGGAATTCTGTAAATCTTTACAAAACTTTTCATACATTTTCAATTTAACAACATAACTCTGCAACTCTTCGTGTTGAGTCATAATCTCGTCAAGATTTTCCTCACTTTGCGTCTTTCTTCCCGATTTCAGCAGTGAAATTTTCTGATTAAGAGATTCGATTATCATCGTTTTCTCTTCTAAATCGTCTTGAAGAACTTTCTCCAGGTGTGCTTTCGCCTCTCTGTCTAGATGTGACGCTTCTTTCATTTCGCTGATTTTCCTCATGTACTTATCCTGCGTCGTCTCCAGTAACTGAGTTAGCTTATGCTGATCTTTACTCAAATCTTCATTCTGAATTTTACATTTTCTTAACGTAGATTTATAGTTCTGTAATCTGACTTTGTTTTTGATAAAAGCTGACACTATTTGATCTGTTGTGTAATTAGCCAAAATTTGTGTTTTCTGGATTTCTATTTCTTCTTCAGTTGGGATTGCGATTATTTCCTCTCCTCCTTTTCCTTGTTTTCCCGCCCCCCGAACAGCACCAGTGGGAGAAACGATACTTTCCGAGTTCTCTGATATGATGGTTGGCATGACATGCTGACTCACTGAACTACCAGCTTCCGATGCGCTTTCGTCCGAGTAGCCCGACTGGAAAGATCGCCCACCCGAGAACAAGGTCGTTGAAACTTCGTTCTCGGCAACTGAGTTTACACCTAGAAGACTTGAGTTCAGATTCTGATTGGACACCGAGTACTCTCTGCTCACTCTTCCGGGAGTCGTTATATTGGACTCAAACCCGGAAGACGCTCCAACAACATCGCTGGCGACGGAACTCGCGTCCGAGGGTTTACGCGTGCGTTCGGGAGGCATCGGCTGCTCTGCTGCCACAAACACATTCGTTAGACTCTGTCTGGGAGAAACTGCTGACTTCAGAAGGGCTTCTTTCGAAGAATCTACTTGAGCAGCCAATTTGTCGCGAAACCCTTTGAAATTGAACTCCATTAAGTCGTATAAAAAACTGAATATGAAGATGGGAACTTTTACATTGGGAATCTTTTGTTTACCAATGAAGTTCTCCGTTTTACAATATCATGATTAAAGCGAAGCATTTGAATCTGAAAAACGCATTTGGAAAGCAAGAAAATCGAATATTAACATCGCATCTGATGAAGTTAGTGTTTCGGAATGAATTATCATATTTTCTGTTCCATGATGCTCCTTGGTCTTTCTGAAAAGAAAACATTCGACTAATTGCGACCAATTCGTTTCAGATTACTGCCACCTTATTGTTCAATGGTTCATTCAGTTAAACTTCAAATATTCGGCGCCAAAAAATTTGGCAAAATGTAAGTGGACAACGCCGAAAATATCCAGTGACCTCTTGTGCGAATTTGAAGCAATTTAATTGGACATGAAAAGTACAATTTACATAAAATCATCTTCAGAAAACACTTGATATATTGGCTCCTGACCGCATATTTGCGCATATACTTTTCAACTTTCTGTTGCGCAGCATGTTTCTCAAGTGAACATGATGTCACTAAATTATAACATGTATATAATTCGATATCCACAAATTATCCGTTTTCAGCATCTGGAAGTCCAAATTTTTCATTTCGTAGTGTTTTTCAATGTCAATTTGAATTATAATTGCCCCCATTGAATAAAAAAAGAAATAGAACAAAAAATTTATTATTAATAGAGAAGAGAAGCACAATTCAGTTTGGTAAATTTTCATACATGCAAACCGTTCATGATATCGATCTGTTTTGTAAATCATTGGTTATAAAACGTAATGCAATGCTTTTAATTAACACCAAATAAGTGAAACGAATATTAGCAGATTCATTTCAGCAGAATCTTAACTGATTTTCTCTGAAGAATTAACTATACAAAAATAAGATAACAGGCTATACAAAGATATTTTAAGAAAGACACTCAAAGTTCCGGGAACATCATTTTGAAATTCAAACTTTATTTGTAGCAAATTGCAAGCCCACAAAATATGAGAGAACTTTCATTAAAGAAAAAGTCTTCAATTTCGAAAAAATCTAAAAGAGTACTACGCAACCAAAATTTTTGTACATTGAAAGTACAGTAAACATGCGTCGAAGATTACGAAAACAGATAAGTGATGAGGATGATTTATACACGAAATCGATTGGTCGGCAACCTTGTGGCGGTGCCTTCGTGTGTTGTTTACACGAACGTTCTAAAATAGAAGACATTGGGTTTTTTTAAATGCAGTTACCAAGACGTTGTCGCTTTTTGTGATGGGATCAACACATTCAAATTTTTACCTCTTAGAACAGCAGGAGTCAAATCGAGCGCTTTATAAGCATAACCAAATGAAGCGATTTTTAAGTGTTTATTTATTAAAAGAAAACCTAGCAATGCAGCATATGATAGCTCTACACTCGAAGCATATATTAGGTCAGGTGGCCAGTCAATAAGCAGAATGGTCTAGGAGCAGAATGGGTCCAAGAGCAGAAAAACAGAAAAACATTAACTTTAGTAAACTGATCGGTAAATTAAGTACAATAATAGTCAATATTATCAAAGAAACTAATATTTTAGGCATAACTGAGTAAATTAATCGAGATTAAAAAAAAATTTAATGAAAAAAAACTTGATGAAATCATTCAATTCATGAATAATTTATTCCTTTTCTTGGTATCATTGACGATTCTGATAATTGTTTTTATCAATTTGCCCGTATTAATCAGTAAAAGTTAATATTTTTCTGTTTTTCTGCTCCTACACCCATTCTGCACTTAGACCATTCTGCTTATTGCTCCGCCTCCATTTGGTCACCACAAAAAGCTTCAGCATCCGGTTCAATTATTAACACTATAATTTCTAACCTTAGCTTATCTTGCTTGCACACTCTTAAAAAAAAGTTGACACGTTTTCACATGAACATTGCTCTATTTGTGGAAAACACTACTATATTTGTGTTCAAATAAACACACGAGAGCAAGACAAACCGAACACCAGATAGTTGCTCTCGTGTACTTCATGTATTTATAGCCTGTTTTTAAAATCATGTTTACAGTGTAGCAAAAAAAAACAGAAACAAACAAATCAACAAACAAAAAAAATTGTCATTGAAAAAATTTTCAAATTGACAACTTGTTTGGAAAAACAAAATTCAATCTCGGAAAAACAGAAGACAAACAGGACGACAAACAAAAAGCAAGCTTTTAGTATTTTAAGAGCGTTCGTTAAGCCAACAACACATGGTTAAACGCCAATTGAACAAAAAAAGGCAAAGGAGATTAAAGAACTTTTTAAGTACCTTCGAACTTTTAAAGTACCAACCGACCTGATGAAATAAACACAAAAATATTCATTTTCTGTCCTTAAACTGACGCAAAAAAATTTTCACTTAGCCGACGAAATAAGAGACGAAATCATTTAGGCCCAATAAAAACTCTAGGCCAAAAAAAACTTTAAAACTTAACTTACCTAAAAAAACCAGCCACGTATAGAATTTTAAAAACTACAGGAGTTAATTATTGAAAGTTGAGATTGCAAAGAAAGCTGGTTACAGCAAACACTGTAGTTTAGCCGACCATCCCGGAAACCTCAAAGTCGGACACTGAAAAAAAAAGTCCGGCCGCGACTCGTACCACTGACCATAGGTTTCAAAAGCAACTGCATTACCTCCAGACCAAACTTCTGAAACTATCTTGAAACTTTCTTTGAAAACACAGGGGAAAACGCTAGCAAATTAGGTTTGCCACACGTAAATTTTACGTAATTCGGTTTTTCAATTTCGCTTTGTCAATATTTCTGCAATCGCAAAAAGTTTTGCAGTATATATCACGTCAAACAAAAGCCCTGATAAAGGACTTTCTGGAGGCCTATAATTTATCGACATATTTCGTAGTTAAATAAAAATCTACTGCCTATTTTTGGTTTTCTCAAAAACTCGTTTCAGTTGTAGTATTGCGAAAAAGGCCATTGTCTTAATTGTTGATATAAATAAGACTCAACTCTAATTTACAAGTGTGCCTTTAAAATTATTGCATCTATTCACTAAATCAGATTTTGACTGAATTAATCTTTTTTTAACACTAAAAAATCTTGTTTTGAAAAATGAGTACCTTTGAATACTTCCGATTTTTCTCATTTTTTCACGCTCAGTATTTTTAAAGTGCGGTAAAAAAGATTAAGTCCTTTTCAAATTTCAACGTGGAGACTCAAATCCAACGTAGAGACCAATAGGCTGACTGATTTATTTGTTCTGACTTGAAAACTGGGACAATAAAGCGATAAGCAGCGGTCTTTTACAAACCCTAAGAAAAACTTTGATCTTTAAATTAAGTACAAATAGAACATTTCTTCTGATTAAATGAAACAAAAACTTTATTTGTTATCAAAGAAAAAAGCAGACGGTGATGAAAAAGCTTCCTGATGCCAAAGAAGATGAAGGAAAGCAATGAAGCATACTTACTATAAAATTCAGGTCCAGGTTGTGTGAGATCTTTGAGCTAACTAATAACCCGGCCAGACATTCAGTTTGCTCCAGATATTCGAAAATAAAAGTTTGGAAAACAAAAGTTGACACTCTATGAATAAAAAAGAAAAATTCTACTGAGTAATTTTTATTCATTCAAATAATTCGTTTCTTGAAATTCGAGTTCAGAAAACCTGAAAGAAATAAATTACCCCGAAAAAACAATCTTGCTAACAAAAAGAAAACAGAGACTAGAAAGAACAAGACGCAACATAACACGACGGGACTGAGCACAAATCAGATAAGCCAAGACGAAGCTGAAGCACAATCCACCAGCCGGAAGTTAGAAACCAACAGTTGAATTAGGAAAGCAAAAACTTCCACAAAATTAGGATTTTGTTAACCCTTGATTAGCTGTTCAACCCATCCAAAAATTGAAGCTCTTTTTAAGACTATCTGACAGCTTATATTTAAGCCACTAACCTTGAACCTAAATTATGTGATGTTAACTTTAAACTATTTCACTACAACACCGATCGCTAACGATCTAATTTAAAAAAAAACGGCGAGACTTATAGCACTAGTATAAAATACAAAAGAGACAAGAGAGGCTATAGAAAAACACTTGTACCGCTTAGTAAAACTGGTGCGACCAGTGAGGCTTTCATGACGAACAAAGCAGCATTCGTTATTTTCCCAACATATCAACTCAATCTTCTATAACGAGACATCAACTTCTCGACTTCCAACCCTATTATAATTCAAATTTAAGACAAACACACCATGAATTCAATCACTTTACCATTTTTTGTGAGTACGATCATCCAACGTTGAAGAAAATTTTGGACAAAATAGCAGAGTTGGATGATCGTACTCACAAAAAATGGTTAAGTAATTGAATTCATGAAGTGTGTGGCTTAAATGCTATTTTAATCTATAAAACTTTCTTCAATTTATTAAACTTTTTAAATAGTTTCAGTTATTGAAATGAATGCATGGGGCAGCCGTGGTGGCCCCCAATAGTGAAATTGTTGGAAAGTTTATTCACAGCGATACCCTCTGGATTACACTCAGGATTAAACAGGGTGGACCTACAGTCTGGAAGACTAGCTGTATTTCTCATCCCAACTACAATCAGCTGAGTTTATTTCAACTTATTTGTCTTTATATACATTTTTCTATCTCGACTTCTCTATGATCAAAATAGTAGCAGCAAGCTCTCTTAGCCGTTCCATTGCAAAACTTGACGAATCTGAACAACATAAGCTTGCCGATTCTGTTCATTCTTTACCCGGCATAAATCTTGACCCTAATACAGCAAACTGTTGTTACGATTATTTAACGTCAACCCAGCTGAGGAAACGTAACCTTATACTGTGGCATGACCTACTCAACAACACAATAACATCACATCCAAAAAAGAATAATATTCCCCAAACGGTTGATCAACTCATCGCGACTGAAAACAATTCCCAATCTCTTCTGCGTTGTCACATGTCAACGAGTAGGAGCTCTATCTTTGGCGCCCTTGTGAAGGCCTTGGACTGTTACGTCATTGACGTGACAAAGCACGTTATCAGCGCGTCTGAACAAATCGACGAATCGGTGCTTGCTGAGTATCGCAGACTTCATCAGCATTCTGACATTGAATTACGTACTTTGGCCACTGTACTGCACTATTACCCCAACATCAAACGGATCTTCAAAACACGTGGTACGAAGCGAAGATCAGCTGGAGAGAGACGCGAGGCGAAAAGACTAAAATACTA